GCCTCATTTGGTGTAAATTGTATATAATCCTCTTGCTGCTGCTGTCCATCGTTCTCCGATTGCAAAGAATTGTCCATTTCCAGAATATCCTTTAATTGACGTTCATTTGGTTTGCTTAATGTCAATGAATCGGATCGAAGGGATTTCTTGCGTACAGCATTTTTTCGTACAAATTGATAATTGGGCTCTTCGTTAACATCTCCCACAGGATTTTGTCCTTTACGGATATGACCAAGGAGGATTTATTAACGGTTTTGTTGGTTTGGTTTGTTGTTTATCAAGGTCAAGCATAATTACACAAAAAAAGTTGTATTTTGAACAAAGGATGTGTGTTCGGGGGGTCATTTGGAATAGACGAGAAGAAGAAGAAAGAAAAAAATACATAATATAAAATTAAAATTAAGAACTTCGATCCAATTTCGAATGTCACAAAATTTATTGGATTTGCGTGAAAAAATGAAAAAGAAAAATAAATGATTATAAAATCGATATTTATCTGTACGCGGACATATATTTACAAAAACAATAAATTACAACAATTAAAAAAGTTAATAAAAATAAAAAATAATGAAGCGAAATTCTTTGTACAAAAATTAATGATTATTATTTTAGGGTATTTAGGTAACAAAAATCCACGCCTCTAGTAGTCCTTCAAAAAATATCCTTTAAAAAGATCAACGCTTCTAGTAATCCTGCAAAAAATCCACGCCTCTAGTAGTCCTTCAAAAAATATTCTTTAAAAAGATCGACATCTCTAGTAGTCCTTCAAAAAAATATTCTTTAAAAAATCCACGCCTCTTGTAGGCCCTTGAAAAAATATCCACGCCTCTTGTAGGCCATTGAAAAAATATTCATTAAAATATCCACGCCTCTTGTAGACCCTTGAAAAAATATCCACGCCTCTTGTAGGCCCTTGAAAAAATATTCTTTAAAATATCCACGCCTCTTGTAGGCCCTTGAAAAAATATTCTTTAAAATATCCACGCCTCTTGTAGGCCCTTGAAAAAATATTCTTAAAAATATCCACGCCTCTTGTAGGCCCTTGAAAAAATATTCTTTAAAATATCCACGCCTCTTGTAGGCCCTTGAAAAAATATTCTTAAAAATATCCACGCCTCTTGTAGACCCTTGAAAAAATATCCACGCCTCTTGTAGGCCCTTGAAAAAATATTCTTTAAAATATCCACGCCTCTTGTAGGCCCTTGAAAAAATATTCTTTAAAAAGATCGACACCTCTAGTAGTCCTTCAAAAAATATTCATTAAAAAGATCCACGCCTCTAGTAGTCCTTCAAAAAATATTCTTTAAAAAGATCCACGCCTCTAGTAGTCCTTCAAAAAATATTTTTTAAAAAATCCACGACTCTAGTAGTCCTTCAAAAAATATTCCTTAAAAAATCCACGCCTCTAGTAGTCCTTCAAAAAATATTCTTTAAAAAATCCACGCCTCTAGTAGTCCTTCAAAAAATATTCCTTAAAAAATCCACGCCTCTAGTAGTCCTTCAAAAAATATTCTTTAAAAAATCCACGCCTCTAGTAGTCCTTCAAAAAATATTCTTTAAAAAATCCACGCCTCTAGTAGTCCTTCAAAAAATATTCTTTAAAAAAACCCACGCCTCTAGTAGTCCTTCAAAAAATATTCTTTAAAAAATCCACGCCTCTAGTAGTCCTTAAAAAAATATTCTTTAAAAAATCCACGCCTCTAGTGGTCCTTCAAAAAATATTCTTTAAAAACTCCACGCCTCTAGTAGTCCTTCAAAAAATAATCTTTAAAAAATCCACGCATCTAGTAGTCCGTCAAAAAATATTCTTTAAAAAATCCACGCCTCTAGTAGTCCTTCAAAAAATATTCTTTAAAAAATCCACGCCTCTAGCTGGCTCTTGAAAAAATATTCTTTAAAAAATCCCCACCTCTAAATGCCCTTAAAAATATACTTTAAAAAATCCACGCCTCTAAAAGTCATTCAAAAAATATTCTTTAAAAAATCTAAGCCTCTAAAAGCTCTTCAAAAAATATTCTTTAAAAACTCCACATTTTTTATATATTTTTTTGAATTTAACGGTAAATGTCAAACATGTTTATCTAGCGTGTATGACAGAACACACACCCATATTTTCGAAACCAAATTAGTTTTGCTACCAGAAAAAAAATAATTGAACAAAAAAAGCTAGAACATGGTGCATCAAAAATATGTGGAGCAGCTTAGCATCCGGAGACTTGTTACCAATTTGACCAATTTAATGGTCAAATGTTGTTATGTGTCTGTGTGTGTGAAAGGCGATTAAACTATAAAGCCAATAAGAAGGCGAAGCAAAGAGATAAGGATGTACAAGAACAACAACAACAAAAAGAATATAGAAAAAATAATTTGTGGCTATTTCTCTAATAAATCACAGAATCGCTAGAGAAAGGAGAAGACACGCACACACACGTAATAATTGCAGATTCCGAAACAAGAATAAAATCGGATTATTAAGTCATAAATCCTGTTATACTTGGGAATGGCTTTAATATAAATCTGGCACAAAAAAGGGGAAGAAAAAAATTACAAGAAAAAAAACATTTAAAGCAAAGAGAAATAAAGAAAAAAGAGGAATAAAAAGAGACCGACACAAAAATACCAGCTGAGTCTGGAAACGAGAATTATTAAAGAGTTTCAAAAGGATTTTCAAATAAATGCAACTTTTTTTTAGCAAATATATAGGTTAACTGCTGAGGAAGAGTTGGCAGAAGAAGAAAAAATCTGTTTGTAGCTAAAGGAGTAGCATTATTTGAACATGTTTAGCTAAGCTGCAGTTATGTGGAGTTGAGAAGAATGGCACAAAAGGAGCAAAAAAAAATATTCGTTAAAAAAGCCATGCCTCTAATAGTCCAGGAAAAAATATTCTATAAAAAATCCACGCTAAATCGACACCTCTAATAGTCCATATTCTTTCAAAAATCTAAAGAGGATAAATTGTGGGTCTAATAGCAGAACTATAGCCTAAAAGAAGGGTTTTTTTAAACAAAAATTAAAAATAAAGGACTTCCATCTAAAGAGAGCAAGTTATGGGTCTAACTATATAGCATACCCATAGAAGGTTTCTAAGGACGAAAGGTCTTCTGTGTAAAAATAATACCTTCTGTGCAAAAATACTACCCGGAAGACCGACAGAAGCTCTTCTATTTCTCTCGAAGCCTGCCTCCCCTCAGATCGAAAGTCTAGAAGATAGATAAGAGCCTTTTTGCCTACAGATAAGCAATTAGAGGTATTTAGTTTAACAGAAGCGTTTTTTTGTAACAAAAATTAAAAAAAAGGACTTCCATCTAAAGAGGGCAAGTTATGGGTCTAACTTATATAGCAGACCCATAGAAGGTTTCTAAGGACGAAAGGTCTTCTGTGTAAAAATAAGACCTTCTGTGCAAAAATATTACCCGGAAGACCGACAGAAGCTCTTCTATTTCTCCCGAAGCCTGAGTGAATTTTTTCTACTTGTCTTAGAATATTGAGATAAGGACCTGCCAGCCCTGAGATTAAAAGTCTAGAAGATTGATAATAGATTTTTTGCATATAGATAAGCGATTGGAGGTATTTCGTTTAACAGGGTAATTTCTTACAACCAAAATTAAAAAGTAAGGACTTCTATCTACAGAGGATAAATTGTGGGTAGAACGATGAAAGGGCCTTATGTATAAAACTACGATGTTTTGTCTACCAGGAAGACCGATAGAAGGTCTTAATTTTCTCTTGAAGCCTGAGCGATTTTTTTCTATTTGGCCTAGAATACCGAGAGGAGGTCCAGCCTTCCCTCAGATTGATCGAAAAGAGATTTTTTGCCCATATATAACCGATTGGAGGTATTTTGTCTAGGGAATCCCGGTGGTCCGTTTTTTATGTAAGATAGAGATGAGTTCATATTTCTACACAAGACTAATCGGAGATCTTCAGCATACAGAAGAACCATGGGAGGTTTTTTGTTCATAGAAGATCGATAGGAGATCTTCTATCATTATGTGACCGTTAGGAGGTCACTTAGGAGGTCTTCTGTATATAGAGAAACGTTAGGAGGTTTTCGGTGTGTAGAAGACCCCTCGGAGGACTTCTAAAATATCTTTTATCTTTAGTATATCCCTAGGAATCCCTATGACATTTTCTATAGATAGAAGACCCCAAGGAGGTATTTTATTTTTTGAAGACCATTAGGAAAACCTCTATCTATAGAAGACCTTTGAGAGGTCTTCTATCTATAGAAGACACTTAGGAAGTCTTATATCTATGGAAGACCTTTGGGAGGTCTTCTAGCTGTAGCATATATTTGGGAAGCCTGTAGAAGACCCTTAGGAGGTCTTCTATCTATAGAAGACGTTTGGGAGATCTTCCATCTATAGAAGGCGCTTAGGAAGTATTCTTCTATCTATAGATGGCCTTCTTCTATAGATGGCCTTTTTGAGATCTTCTACCTATAGAAGACGTTTGGGAGATCTTCTATATATGGAGGACCCTTAAGAAGTCCGATATTCTATGTGTAGAAGACCCTAAGGTGGTTTTCTATTTCTATTGAAGTCTTTTTGGGAGGTCTTCTATCTGACCCTTATCTATCTATTGAGGGCCGGTTAGAGACCTTTGTATGGCCGAATATAGAATTTTATGGGCAAATAACTTCCCCTAGAAGTTACGCTCCTGATACCAATAGAAACCATTAAATATAGAAAAAAAAAATTAGAAACAATTTTACAAAAAGAAGAAGGAAATCATTTTAGACTGTTTTTCGAAAAGTTCATGTGAGTGAGCGAAAAAAAAAAACAAAAACTAGACTCACAAAAAACAACAACACAAAAGAAATAATTAACATTTAGAGCATATAGGCGGCTCGTGTACACAACAACAAAAAAAATGAAAAATTAAATAAATAAAATTGTTGTGTTGCTAGTTTGTGGAGCAAATGTGGACTAGCCATTAGCTTTACAAAAACAAGAAGAAGAAAAACAACAACAACAAAAATAAAAAAACCTTCAACTCACCTGCAGCATTATAAATCGGTGCATGATCGAAATCGGCAAAATTCTCATTATTACCACCATTGCTGCTGGTAAAACCATTCATAAATTGTTGCTGAGCACTAATGGCGGTCGATCCTCCTTGTGTGGATGACGCCTTCAGTGGCTGTTGTATTTTGGCATAACCGTTATTTGTTATCGATGCTGAACCCACCGATGAGGCTGGGCTCGTACTGGCCACGGTGGCATTAAAAATATCAGCTGAACCAAAATCGGCAACAAAATCTGCTTCGGCCCCAAACCCATTGGCACTGGCACAACTGCTGGTATCGGAGAGGGCGCCAGTTGAGGCGGAACCCACCGATAAATTTAAGCCATTGTGTAGACCAAAGGCATCGGTATTGAAGCCATTTTGAAGATGCGATGTGTTGTTGTTATTGCTGCTGCTGCTGTTACCGCTATGCTGAGGACGACTTATGGCCGATGAGGAGGATTTGTGTAGGCCATTCGCTGTAGTACGTTGTGAAGTGGGCGGAGTTAATTGTATGTGGGAGTGGTGATTGTTGTTGTGTGTGCTATTGTTGTTATTACTGTTGCTGCGATTATTGTTCGATGTTGCTGATGATGATGATGTGGACGTGGATGTTGCTGCTGTTGTTGCTCCTGACGACGAAGTCTTAAGATTTGTGGCATTTGTTAGGGACTTAAGAGGACTAGCCGGCTCCAAGTAATAACGTTTACGTTCATATTTATCAATCATCAGCTCGCGTTGATCCTGATGCACAGCACGTTTGGGATCCCACAATCCCAGCCATGTCTTGGCGCAGAAATCATTACCATGGGCCTTAAGGAAATCAATTTCATCTTGAGTGAAGGTGGCCATTGAAATGGATTTGACACGATGTGGTGGTGTAATGCCGCGTCTGGAAGGAGAAGGAAATAGAGAAGAAAATTAGAGAATGAAGAAAAATAAAAAAGGGAAATAAACAACAAAATTGTAGAAAGGGTGGATTTATTGTTTTCGGGAATTGCTATAGACCTTGATTAAAAAAAAATTGAGGGAATTATGAAGGCGGGTCTTTCTTAAAGAATGTTTTTTTAGAGACTTCTATAGGCGTGGATAAAACAAAAATATTATCGAGGACTTCTATAGGCGTGGATTTTTTAAAGAATATTTTTTCAGTGACTTCTGTAGGCGTGGATTTTTTAAAAAATATTTTTTCAGCGACTTCTATAGGCGTGGATTTTTTAAAGAATATTTTTTAGCGACTTCTATAGGCGTGGATTTTTTAAAGAATATTTTTTCAGCGACTTCTATAGGCGTGGATTTTTTAAAGAATATTTTTTCAGCGACTTCTATAGGCGTGGATTTTTTAAAGAATATTTTTTCAGCGACTTCTATAGGCGTGGATTTTTTAAAGAATATTTTTTCAGCGACTTCTATAGGCGTGGATTTTTTAAAGAATATTTTTTCAGCGACTTCTATAGGCGTGGATTTTTTAAAGAATATTTTTTCAGCGACTTCTATAGGCGCTCAAATCCTCAATCCTCAAATTGCAAAACCATGCCAAAATTATCATTTCAATTCAAATTAGAATTCATTTAATTGCTCTAGAAAGCACAAAACTTTTGTTTACACCAACATTTCAATTTTTTCAGACACGCTATGGCAGAGAATTTTCAACCATCCAACATTCGCTTTCATATTTTCCATGCCAAGCTGTTGGCGCTGACCAACTATAATACAACAACAAAAACAAAACGAATATTAAATTCATTTCATATTTTGACGTCAAATGCAAATGAAAAAAAAAATATGGCAATTATTAATATTTCCATTTGGAGGGAGGTGGGACCGTAGAGTTACGCCTGCAAAAAATATATGAAATGACTTTGAATGGATTTAGATATTTACAAAAAAAAAAAAAAAAACATTTTCAAAAGATGTTAACTTTGTTACATAGTTTTTGTTTTGTTTGGAAAACAAAATTTACAACAACAGAAAAAAAGACAACAACAAAGTGTTAACTGATGCAGAAAATAGATGTCACCAGTGTTGGAAATTTCGTATAAGTACGAGGTTGGTTTATATTTTTTTCCAAGCATCCACATAGTCATGGATTTTTTAAAAAATATTTTTTCAAGCATCCACAGAGGCGTGGATTTTAAAATTTTTCAAGGATCTGGGTCCAAAATTGTGTTCCAAACCTCAACATCATTGATGTACCTTTGTGGCAAAGACCGCCCATTCTTCTAACCTAACCCCCAAATGCTTTGTGTCTATTTTGGGGTTTCTCTTGTTATTATTGTTGTTGTTGCCAAAACAAAATATCAACAACAACATTTTTTCCACTGGCTTGCTGCTGCTGTTGTAAATCAAAGAACAAATGTTTTTGTTGTTGCTGCTGTTCGACGTTCGCTGCTATGTTTCTATTCTTGGCAGGCCAGCGTGCGGAGAAATGTTAACAGAGTCATGGTTGGCTGCAACTAAAACAATAGTTCAAAGGTTTTCAGAGTTAAGCGGGCATCAGTGGGTGGGTCTACTGGTGACTGGCGCATTTGTTTTGTATTAGCGACACAATAGCTGCGGGACAATATTGTTGTGGTTTTAAATTTACATTTTTATTTTTTTAAATTGTGGATTTGAAATTTAAAAGGGACATTTTTGAAATGGTGTTGTATGGGAATCATAATGTATGGAGGGAATTTAAGTGGGTCACGAAAAAGGTGAGGATTTTATACAAAATATTTTTTAACAGCCCATGAGAGGCGTGGATTTTATAAAAAAAAAAATATTTTTTAACAGCCCATGAGAGGCGTAGATTTTATAAAAAAAAAATTTTAACGGCGCATGAGAGGCGTGGATTTTATAAAAAAAAATTAAGAGTCCATGAGAGGCGCAGATTTTATAAAAAAAGTACACAGCCCATGAGAGGCGCAGATTTTATAAAAAAATACACAGCCCAAAAGAGGCGTGGATTTTATAAAAAAATTAACAGCCCATGAGAGGCGCAGATTTTATAAAAAAAATACACAGCCCAAAAGAGGCGTGGATTTTATAAAAAAATTAACAGCCCATGAGAGGCGCAGATTTTATAAAAAAAATATACAGCCACCTTGGATATATTCAAAAAAATACACAGCCCAAAAGAGGCGTGGATTTTATAAAATAAATTAACAGCCCATGAGAGGCGCAGATTTTATAAAAAACACAGCCCGTGAGAGGCGCAGATTTTATAAAAAAATACACAGCCCATATAGAGGACATTGGTACACCATTTACATTAAATCGGACGAAAATATATATGTGAGCTATATCTAAATCTGGATCGATTTTCAGGCAATTTAACACACATAATTCTAGAATAAATTTAGTACCCTATGCCAAATTTCGTGCAAATTGAATGATATATAGGGGCTTTGGTACACCATTTTCATTAAATCGGACGAACATTTATATGGGAGCTATATCTAAATCTAAACCGATTTTCAGGAAACCTAACACACATCATTCTAGACTTCATTCAGTACGCTGTGCCAAATTTCGTGCAAATTGAATGATATATAGGGGCTTTGGTACACCATTTTCATTAAATCGGACGAAAATTTATATGGGAGCTATATCTAAATCTAAACCGATTTTCAGGAAACCTAACACACATCATTCTAGACTTCATTCAGTACGCTGTGCCAAATTTCGTGCAAATCGAAAGATATATAGGGGCTTTGGTACACCATTTACATATAATCGGACGAAAATATATATGGGAGCTATATCTAAATCTAGACCGATTTTCAGGAAACTTAGCACACATCATTCTAGATCTAATTCAGACCGCTGTGCCAAATTTCGTGCAAATCGAATGATATATAGGGACTTTGGTGCGCCATTTACCTAAAATCGGACGAAGATATATATGGTAGCTATGTCTAAATCGGAACCGATTATCACGAAACATTGCACACATCATTCTAGACTTATTTCAGTACGCTATGCAAAAATTTGTGCACATCAAAAGATTTCTAGGGACTTTATTGGACTATTTACCTAAAATCGGGCGAAACTATATAAGAGCTATATCTAAATCTGAATAGATTTTCACAAAACTTTGCACACATTATTCTTGACATAATTCAGTATGCTATGCCAAATTTCGTGCAAATCGAAAGATATATAGAGACATTGGTACACCATTTACCCTAAATCGGACGATGATATATATGGGAGCTATATCTAAATCTGAACCGATTTTTCCCAATTTCAATAGGGTTCGTTCTTGGGCCAAATAAGTGACTAAGTGCCAAATTTCATTCAATTCGGATCATAAATGCGACCTGTACTTTGTTTACAATTTAACATGGACAGACGGACGGACGGACATGCATATATCGACTAAGAAAGTGATTCTATGCATATTCTCAAAAGGAACCATGGGTCTATTTCGATTATTTTTGCCTGTTACAAACAAATGCCCAAAGACAATACCCTGTACCACAGTGTGGTGAAGGGTATAAAAAATCTCCATACCTTTACACCTCGTTTTCCACACATACACACACATTTCACATTTGAACTGCAATTTTTTTGCTGACAAGTCGAACGAAAGAAAAACTTTCTTTCCAACCGAAATATAAATTGTAATCTAAATTTATGACACTGTAAATGTAACGAAAACCCAAAACTTCATTTTGAGATTGCAGAATTCGCATTTGTTGTGTTAAAATGTTGAAGAAAAGTTTTTTGTGTCGCAATGGTGGCCAAATACAACAACAAAGGTATGACTTTAACTTCCAACCTTTGGGATTCTCTTTGTGAACAAAAAAAAAAAAAACTTTGTAAAATTTGTATGTGTTTGTGTGTGTATGTCTGTGTAGTTATAAAGGTGTCCACATAAAAACTAACGTCATTGCAACTGTTAGATGGCATGCAAGTTCGAAATTTAACTTAAGCCTTGTGAAATATATACGGAATGGAATAAACTTGGCAGTTGGCAAATTTATACGTTTTGGAGATGTTAGTTTGTAAATTCAATATGGGAATTGCAGAAAATGTTAGGCTTAAAAAAAATTCAGTGACCAATAAGAGAGGCCATAATAGGGGTGAATATTTACAAAAATATCTTTGAAAAAATATTCTTAAAAAAAATTCACGCCTTTGTGGATGATCTTAAAAAATCCACACCTGATGTTGACCCCGAAAAAATATTCTTTAAAAAATCCACGCCTGTTTCTGTCCCCTGGGGTGGCGTAGGGGATGATAGATACCAAGCAACGGCTCTGATTGGCTTTAACATGGCGAAGTCCAGGCTTATCTTGTTTCCTCTTTCATCTCAATTGTGGACAATTACCTCTCCGTGGTGTCACCTGGGGTAGCTATTTTCATCACCCGATGAAATAGTGAGCTAATATGTATGTTGAAAGGGTTAGGCGTAAGTAAATCAGACGATTACGCCCTGTATTATAGCTGCCATGACGTGAATTTGGCTGCAGATTTATGGTTAGCAGGAGAATAAAAGACCTCGTCTCCATATTCACTCCAGTTGATTAGCAAATTGCTATAATCCATATAAAAGCGAAGTTCTTGTACATCAGTCTCATTTGCGCCCATGCTCCGACCGAAGATAAAGATGAGCAGACCAAAGACATATTTTACGAGTGCCTAGAAACAGTATATGATCGCTGCCCTGGTCATGACATTAAAATTCTGCTAAAAGATTTTATTGCAAAAATCCGAAGGGAAAATATCTTTGGCCCCATCGTCGTAAAATTCAGCCGACATGAGGTTGATTGACTTCGCGGCAGCAAAAAACATGGTAGTTAGCAGCACCAGATTCAGATTCAAGCATCTCGATATACACAAGGCCACTTGGATTTCTCCCGATCGAGAAATCAAAGGCAAAGGTGCAGACGCCTAAT